CCCCCCCCCCCCCCCCGCCCATGCTCTGATTGCTCACGCCCTGCCAGTAATATTACTTTAGTTTCTAAACAATAAAATTTATTAAATGAATCTTACTTGTGGGAGTAGGTGAAGAAGTTGGTCTGATAGTTTCTGGTTGCGTAGAAGTTAGTTTTGCGTAGAAGTTGGTTTTGTCGTCGCTGGTTTTGTCGTAGCTGCTTTTGTCGTAGCAACTCCGGGCTGTGTCGTCCTATTTCCGATAACTACCGATGTTGTTACGGGTGACGTCATGGGTGGTTGTGTTCCAACAACGTAGTCCGGCATGTCGTAGCATGTGCCGCTGACACATGCACCGCTATCGTAATCACAATGGGTACCATCATCAACATGACCAACGAGCAGAAAGTGAGTATCACTAATACGACAGTGCAGCTGACAATCTCCTGAAAACGAACAAGAAATTTTAAATCGGTTGCTTGACGTGCATGTTTATATTATCGGGCATATATAATAATAATAATAAAATTAATAATAGGGCTTTCAAAACACAAACGAACGTAACATGTGCGTTTCAGGATTTTACTTTTCAAGATCATTTTTTCAGGTTCAATTCCTGGCAAAGGGGCTATAGTTGTATTTTTCGCAGCTATTCCTTAGTTAGGTGAGAATATAGAAGAATTTGCACTCAAAATTTCCAGCTTCCCAAACCCTTCAACAATGTACGACTCATAGATTCTGACAATGCAACATTTGGAACAACAGAGAGCGAGAGTGCGCGACGCGGCGACTTAACCACGCGGGTTTGAAATATAGAAATTGATTATGCAGAACAACAAGAATCAATATGCGTTGTCCCAAGGTTATCATTAGCACTGTCATTCTCAACACAACCAAAGACAACGCAAAAGCTTGTTGTGAGCGTTGAAGTCGAACTAAGTTTTGCACGAGCTTCAAGAATTTATCACAGTAATCAAATTGGTCATTCCTGGGACAAAATTGAACCGTTGAGTTTGCCGCGTCAGATTTTGCACTCACAAATAAATTAGGCAGAACGGACATCGATTGCTCGAACAATTTCAAGATTAGCCATTATCTTAAGTAGAAAATAAAACCTACTTGTTCCTTGGAAATTGTGAGCATCAGCCCTTTCTCCACGAGCTGCACATTGTAAATCACGGTGGCTCAAGTCTCCTGAACATACCTATATAGAAATACACGGTTTAAAAGGAATATTTAATTTTTTTCTTGTTTACTTATGAACGTTTTTCTATCCAGCCCCAATCTTCAAAGCCCATTGTGTTAAACTGTCGACAGGCAGCCGTATTAGTGACTCTGGACGAAGAGTTTTCGCTTGAAACGTCGAAATTCTCCTTATATTTTTCAGGTAGTTGCATCTCTACCAACGAAGCGTGTTACCTACACTGGCACAGACAGTTCACGCCCGACCTATATTACTTAGCATTTGTGGTTGCGAATTTTGTATCATCATAAATTCAAAATCATATGCATGATATCCTCCCCATTCCTATACCAAGGGACTGTCCATATGGAGCCGGGCTGGCGTTCGTGAAACGAAGCTCTTATAATGGTTCTGATAAACATTCGAAATGTCAGTTGAATTAGCGTGATTTGATTCCAGGAACAGTGTAAAGTTCATTTCAACTATCTTTCATGGTCAAGGAAAAACGCGAAACGGTTCATCCCGGCTCATATGATCAATCCCTAAGAACGAAGTGTTGATTAAGTACAAGTATAGTTAGCAACTCATCTGCAGTTTGAAACTTTTTTTTTTATTTTGGGGAGGGGGTATTTAAACCAGATTTAAATCTTTACTTTTGCCCCAAGAGCTTAGAGATCATTGAATTTGGGGGCTCACGTAAACTTGAGAATTACAATAAAACACACACAACACGACAAATTAGACCAAATCGCTGAATTACTCATTTTGTATAATCTTCAAGATCTTAATTAGAACGTCCTGATTCTTTAATAAATAACCTTAATGTAGCATAAATTGCAGCATTAGCATTAAATCGTTCATTAAGGCATCCACTTGTCGAGATAAACTAAGCAACAGCCAGTCGTATGATGACAAGTGCTTCAAACTTATTTGCAAATATGCGTCCTAATTCTTTAATGGACCAAGACGATCGAGTATCGCACATTACAGATTAGACTTAGGGTCAAGCATCGCTTTCACGACGTTTGCAGGATTATATTAAACTCACATGAGTGTTGCACCATTCTTGTACAAGTTCCTTGGTCTCTCCTTCACAATCTTTTCCATTCATCGAGGGTTTTGGGTTCGTACAAGATTTTGTTAAGAATGTAACTCCACCACCACAACTGCGCATGCATGGTCCTGGACCCATCCAATCTGAGAGGCCACCATCTATACCTAGGGGTTAGAAATTGGGACGAGTTTTTAGTAGGATTTTTAAAAAGGCAGCCAAATAAAAGCTATATAGCCTGCATGAAATAGGACCTGAAAAAAATTCTAAACTAATATTGGTCTGTAAGAATGTGCCTTAACTCAAATTTCTGAGAAAAAGAAGAAATAGCTGGATTCAGACATTTCAGAAATAGCTGGATTCAAACTTGAACGGTTTCAACTGTATGTAAAAGATTGTCAGGTAAGATTATTTTTTGAAAAAAATTCTGTCCAAATATTGACAATATTGTCTTCAAGAAACGTCGACACAGCATTAACGTCGTAACAGAGTAGGAAATCCAAGGGCTTTTGATAATTCAAAAAGTTGTAAAAGGAAAGTTGAAACCAGCCCATAAATTGGTTCTCTCAAATTCATCTTGAATCTGATACAACGAATGTATGGGTTATTACAACCTGTATTACAGTGTAATAGACCTTCTTATTTCTTAATATTTATATGAATAAATTATTTTGGCGATACTTACCATAGCAGTTATCCTGAAACGTATCCAGTATGTAAGCTGGCCGTTTTACATATCGATCATAGTGTCCAATCACATTGCCATGTTGCTTGTATCTTGCCACAACATAAACTTTAAATCGTTCACTTGTTCGAGCATATCCAACACCAAGTAATGTTGAAGTTTCCCACACCAGCTAAAAGCACAAAAATTAACGAAAAGTTTTGTTAACTTGCCTGTATAAAGAAATAAATCCGGTACCAAGGTCTAGGTTTATGAGCTTTTAAAACATCAGCTATAAGTTAACCTTTTAAATATTCGTTGCTCTGTAGTAAGCTGGCCCATTTTATATCTTATACAGCCTTAAATAATGCTTAATTTAAACATTTTTCTTTGAGTTGTGTATTTGTTCATTCACTAATAGAAGTTATCCTAAATTCCCATGTGCAGAAGAGCTTGTGTTTTCACGTATTCATTAATTCGAGAAATTATACGGCTATCAAATTACTGCAATAGATTACGGTTAATGTCCTCACCGTTTAATAAATATATATATATTGAGATATTTAATATAACGACACGCATAAGAACACAAGGTTTGTGGGGTTATGGAAGTGTGGGACAACTGCTCTATATATTGTATTTTTTATCTGCGAAGAGCTGGGTGCTGAGCGGTTCCCAGGGCATATACTCGTATTGAAAAGCTGGATCTTGGGGAAAGTCGATTAGGACATATACTGATTTGCAGCTGGGTCCTAATCTGCCCAAGACATATACTTTTACGGATTTTGAGCTGGGTCCTGAGTCGGCTAGAACATATACTCCATTTAGAGCTGGATCCTAGCCTGTCCTGCAAGACATATACTCTGAGCTGGGCCCTGGGAAAAAATGATCAGGGAAATATTTCTTAGAACACTGATCTGGCTCAGCACATATACTCATATGCAGAAATAGAGTGATTTTTGTAAATGGGAATTGGCTGTATGCCAGGTTGCCAAATTCCGTAAAGAAAACGTGAGGTCTATGGCAAAATTGCGACCTCATACTAGAGCAATTGCCTCCACAATCACACAACGATAGTGTGTGTGATCCCCATAGACCGACAAACAACGATCGAGTGTTTATTTCACTCTGCAATCAATCGTTTTGAAAAGTCTGTAAGGACATTGATTGGCGTGCGAATATACCTGAGGTAACAATCGGAAGACCATCTTCCTAGCGTTTGAATAAGCCAATGAGGCAAACCTTGGGACGCAGCTGTGGTAGCCGCTCCGATTCTAAAGCTGTGGCCTGCATAGTGAGCAGGGTGATGACCACCTTGGGCCAAAAGTGTTCGTAGTTCCTTAGTAAATCGACTACGTGATAAAGGAACACCGTTTGAGTAGCAAAACAATGGTCCCGCATAGTCCGTTGGCGCACGTGAAAGGTAGGTTTGAAGGGCCCTTACTGGACAATATATACCAGAATTGCTGCCAATGGTTATTGTGGCTGAGGCTCGAAACGGATCAGTTTTTGACGCTTTAATTCGTAGTTGCAGAAAAACCTCGTTATCCCCACGTTTTTTGTTATGAAAACTTACATCTGATCGGCAAAGATTTGTTGAAGAATTATAAGGACCGGAGCAAGTCATTTCACCAATCCGCAAAAACCCGAAAAATGCTATGGAAATCGCTGCCCAAATCATGGTTTCATCATGTTTTGGCGATGTCCGTGAGTGTAATATGCGGTGAAACAATTTCAAATGGTCTAATGTAATTGGTAGGCGTGTTCTTGTAGACACTCCTTTTACTCGCTTTATACCTCGCAAAATATAGTGTAGGCGTTGAAATTTGGTGATTTGAAGGTCGTAGCCGTTAACCAAATGCATATGGCGTACTGCTGCGAGATAGACTTTGATGGTGTCTGGATTTACCGTCTTAGCGAGAAAAACAGCAAAGTAAATCAGAATGTTTTCCGTTGTTGGCAGAAGAGGCACATACTTATGTAAATGAATTGATAGTAGAAATTCGTGAACTGTTTTTCGCCACTGCTATAAGTTTTAATCGTACCTTTAGCTAACGAAGCAAGTTGATAACGACGTAAGTCAGCGTCTAGAGACGAGAAAGTTCCTCTGGTAGAGGTTGAGGTTGATGGTCTGCATGCGGTGCTAGCCGCCGAAATCTGGTTTGCTGAAAACGGTAGATAGAATCAGCAATGTCATTATAATGACCAGGCACATGTAAGGCTTTGAAATAAAAGTTATATTTCAGTGTTTGTAAGGTTAAAGGACGCACTAAGTCCATAATACGAGGGCTTTTTGAACGTTTGGAATTGATTATGGAAACCACTGCCTGGTTATCGCAGTAAAACACAATTCGTTTTTGAGCCCATAAAGGTGCCCATATGTAGGAGGCTACCACAATAGCATAGAGCTCTTGTCAATCAATGCTGATATTTTTTGTGGTAAGTGTTTGGTGAGGCAACCATTTACCCTGAAACCACTGGTTGCGAAAAATTCCCCCAAAACCAAGGGTCCCCGAGGCATCCGTATAGAGAGAAAGGTTTGTAGAATTTTCCCAGAAAGAGTTGAGAAATAAACTTGTCCCATTCCAGTCTTTAAGAAAAAGTTGCCACATTTTTACGTCTTCGCGGAAACCATTCGTCAAGCGAATGTGATGATGTGGTTTGGAGACACCCCGTGTTAGATTTATGATACGTTGCAGAAAAGCTCGACCCGGGGCAATTACTTTGCATGCAAAATTTAATGTGCCAATTAGTGATTGGAGCTCTTGGAGTGTAGCTGACTTTTTTGTGTGCCACGAATTTAAATCAACAAATAGACGGTTCAATTTATCGGATGGAAGACGAGCCTCCATCTTTTGTGAGTCAATGATAATGCCTAGAAATTCTATAATGAGACTGGGTCCTTCAGTTTTATGCTCGGCAATAGAAACACCTAACGTGCGGAATGTTAGCAACATGCTAGAAAGGCTAGTTTGTATGGAACGCCATGTGTCCAAAAATTATTTAACGTTAATTATATCATATCATGACTAAAACTGTCATTATATATAAATAATTGATAAACGAACAGACATTATATCAAATCATGACTTATTCGTTTTTGTCATTATTTGATATAATGTTATCAACATTAAGCATTATATCATATCATGAACTTCCGAAAAGTCATGATATGATATCAAGACATTTCGACAAAATCATTATATCATATCATGACATTTCGACAAAATCATTATATGATATCATAAGCATTTGTGTAAGTCCTGATTTGATATAATGCTAATGCGTTACACTATGATATCAAATAATGACTTTTCAGTTGATTCATGATATGATATCATGTAAAAGAACTTTTTCATTATATCATATAATGAAACAGCGCCGAAAAGTCATTATTTGATATAATGCAATAGCGTAGTGCGCCATCTGTCCAAAAATTAAAACTGTCCAAAAATCAATTAACCTTATAATAACTCAAACGTCCGGTAACTTAAAACCTCCGGTATCCCAGTTGATTGGACCCCCGTAGATTCGGACTCCTGGTCCATATCCACTAGTAGATTTGGGCCGGCACTCATGGGCCAAAGGCTACAAACAAATCTCTTCGATTACAATCGATCTTCCTCCGTCTTGCGCTTTCTGCTTGTATTCGATTTTTTTAATTTAAAAAGGCTGAATTATGGCGAGTGGTGAACGTTGCTGGGAAGAAGCAATAACTAGAGCTGTGCAAGGAGCAGTTTGGTCCGTATTAACAGACAGAGGGCCATTGCATTTAATATCCATCCCTCCTCTATGGATAAGGTCAGTAAGATTTTAACCTCTAAGAAAAAAAGATCAAAATGCCGACACAAACCCCCTTCAGAAATTTGTAAATTTTCCCCTTACGCCTCAGAAAAATCGCATACATCAAAAGATGCCGACAGGCTTAACCCCTCAGAAACGACTTTGGGGTCATCCTGCGGAAAAATTCATCTATTGGAGGGGGGGGGGGACATTAAAAGATAATGCACCCAGAGGCCCGGACCAATTCTCGCGGCCGGAATAGAGCTCGACTAGCAGAACTGCAGAAGGTTAAGTTGAAACGTTATAAACCAGGTTTGTATGACCTATACATACTTAGTGTTTCAAATAAGTACTGAGGCATTAAGTTTTACTTTTGAATATTTATCGATATCTTATTTTACATAAAGGCCGCAGAGAATTATACTCAGAATAGTATGGATTAGTACCATGAGCCGTATTCCTATAAATAACGGTGGTGGCAATCATATATAATAAAACTAATAATAATAATAATAATAGCCGGCAAACTTTGCGAACGACTTGCCCCACTAAATATCGAGGGCAGTGTTGTTTGCTCTGGTTGTTTTCTGTTTATATTATGGTTGCCACCACGGATGTTTATAGACTTTATAGCTCCTGTGCTATTCTGAGTATAATTTTCTGCGGCCTTTATGTAAAATAAGATATTGATAAATATTCACAAAGGTAAAGCTTAATGCCTCAGTACTTATATGAAACACTATGTAGGTGATACAGACCTGGTTTATAACGTTTGAACTTAATCTTGTGCTGGTCGCGCTCTACGCCGGCAGCGAGAATTGGTTTGGTGTGGACGCGCCATAATTCAGCCTTTTTAAATTAAAAAAATAATAATACATAATACCGAATACAAGCAGGATTCTTAGCTGCTGAAAGCGCAAAACGGAGGAAGATCGATTGTAATCGAAGAGATTTGTTTGTAGCCTTTGGCCCATGAGTGCCGGCCCAAATCTACTAGTGGATATGGACCAGGAGTCCGAATCTACGGGGGTCCAATCAACTGGGATACCGGAGGTTTTAAGTTACCGGACGTTTGAGTTATTATAAGGTTAATTGATTTTTGGACAGTTTTAATTTTTGGACAGATGGCGCACTACGCTATTGCATTATATCAAATAATGACTTTTCGGCGCTGTTTCATTATATGATATAATGAAAAAGTTCCTTTACATGATATCATATCATGAATCAACTGAAAAGTCATTATTTGATATCATAGTGTAACGCATTAGCATTATATCAAATCAGGACTTACACAAATGCTTATGATATCATATAATGATTTTGTCGAAATGTCATGATATGATATAATGATTTTGTCGAAATGTCTTGATATCATATCATGACTTTTCGGAAGTTCATGATATGATATAATGCTTAATGTTGATAACATTATATCAAATAATGACAAAAACGAATAAGTCATGATTTGATATAATGTCTGTTCGTTTATCAATTATTTATATATAATGACAGTTTTAGTCATGATATGATATAATTAACGTTAAATAATTTTTGGACACATGGCGTTCCATAAGTTTGGCATGCTTGAGAAGGTAGCCCAGTTTGGGCCGGTGGTTCCATGATGAGAAAATCGTCTAGAATGTGCCCAACATAGCTTATAAAACACTTGTTGAGTAAAATCCATTCAAGTGCATCCGAAAGTTGATTGAAAACATACGGCGCACTACGCAGACCAAATGGCAACACTTTGTCAAAATAATAGGACTTGTTCCAATATATGCCTAATAACTCCCAGTCGTCAGGATGAACAGGGAATTGACGAAAAGCAGATTCTATGTCAGTTTTAGCTAGATAAGTGCCTCTGCCTAATCGGATTAAAGCCGCAATTGCGTCGTCGATTTTTGTGTACTGCAATGAAAAGTCGTCTTTCTCGATAAAGGAATTGATTGATTCTCCCGTTTTTGGAAACGAGAGGTGAAAAATGGTTCGAAATTTATCTGAATGCTTTTTAGGTACAATGCCAATTGGCGAAACCTGTAAATTAGCAAATGGCGGATTGGTGAAAGGACCAGCTGTGTGGCCAAGAGCAACTTCCTTAGCTAAGTTAGTTGAAACAATAGTTGGATTGTCAATGGCAGACTTGAGGGTTTTCGAAAATTTTGACATGCGAGGACCATCGTAACCGAGACGAGCACCGAAACGCAAGTCTGAACAGAGTTTCAAAACGAATGATGAATTGGGATGCCCACAAAGAGCACCTTCAAGCGCGTCAACGCGAATTGGCGTAACTATAGTATTATCTAAAGGTATTGAATTACTGCTATTATATATACTACACTTTGAACTAACAGTTCTATTTTCTGTTGGTCTTCGCGGAGCTACGGGCGGATTGTGAAGGGTGGTCGTCGTTGTGATTGTTTTCCCCACGGGATTGTGGACATTGGTACCCAGGATGGTTCCCCCCACAGCCAATTCGGTTACATCGGTGAGTGTAAGGGCAATTGGGTCGTAATGGGCAAGGTCTACCCCTGTTGTAGCTGTGGCAAATTCCGTCCCTCGCTGCCCCAGCTTTGTTTGAGGGTCCGTTAGAAAAAAGGGAATAATCTTCCCGCAACTGAGTAGAGCTAGCGGTGAAAATACGCAACCATAACTGCATGTCAATGTTGGCCCACGACAATGTTCGACACGCGGCGGCTTTATAGCGAAATTTATGATCATATATGCACCAGCCTAAACCGCCATGCGTTTTTGCCGCATGACGGATGGTTTCCATGTACTGTAAAAGTTCTGATGCACGATTTGGAAATTTTTGTACTATGATTAACATATACGTGTTGAAAGCGGTTGTCCACTCTTCAATGTTAGTCAGCACTTGAGGCTTGCGCGGTGTTAATGAGATTCCCGTAGAGGAAATTGTGAAACCCACGTTGTCAGAAGAATCGGAACCAACATTTAACTTATTTAAATTTTTTGGCAATAATTTAGCAAGCTCAAAAAACTCACCACTTTCGATGTCACGAACGTATTTGTTTGGAATCTCTGGCGTGAATCCCCCATCTGCTTGCTGCAGGTCCATGGGATGAAGTCGGCTGCTGCTGGAGCTCGCTGGAACTTAAAAATGGAAATTGACCAAGCTGTTCTAGCCTTTCGAGTGGCGTTGGCGGTGGCGGGATAGTTGGCTGCTCATCTACACGAGTCGCGGTTGTTGTGGCGTGTTGGCTTTCGAAGAAAGACGAAATCGACTGCGAAACAATCTGCGTGATCTGTGCCAGTTGGTCGGCGCTGAAGCTTTCCCTTGCGTTGGAATTAGATAACGTGTTGTTTACTGGAACGGTTTGAATGTTGGATTGCGGCGTATTCGTGTTTAGACGTTCTCTTTCGTTTTGTAGACGCGTTGTAAGTACCCGTCGGCCGCCAGCGCAGGAAAAGTTGAGTTCGCGGCAAAGGTTCTTCAACTCTAAAATTGATAACTCGCCCAAATTGCTCGGTACTTCGACGGACGGTTGAATACTGGATGGTCGTTGATCCTGCTGACGAACTCGTGATCGTGGTTTGCTAACTCTTGGCATTATTTTTGGTGGACGGTTAGAAATGATAAACGTGAAACGATTAACTTTTTAAATGACTTTTTTAAATCAGTCTTTACAGCTCGCAATCCAAGTAAGAATGATATAGGCAGATAAAGCTAACTCGGATATCTGCCCATGTTTAACTATAGTTTCATTGTTATAGTTATGAATAGGTCAAACATAGTGGTTTGGACAATAATTAATAAACGATACTGGGTGCAGTAGCCTACGGGTTTGGCAAGCAAATAATGAAAGTCTGTGATAGAGTCTTCCTTTGTTTAGACAATAGTAGCTTTCGAGTTGGCTTAACATAGACATTTTAAATCTATCATTTTTAGGTCTAGCGCATTGAGTATCGTCCATTAACAATAATTTGTACTCGTAAAAATTACCATTTAAATGGCTTTATTTTGCGTTTCATCTCATCTTTAATCCTTTATATGCAACCACAGTCTTACACAAGTCAAATAGTCGACTAATCGGCGTTTTAAATGCTCAAACAAGCGGAATATTGCCTTTCGTGATATCGTATGATTTCAGCCCGGGATGACATTTCAGCCCGGGTTTGTTTACTACAAGGGATAAATATAGCTCTGACTAAAAGTCAGCCCAGGTTCAAATTGCCCATGTAATCGTGATGCTATTTAAGCTCGGTTAACAGGGCTGAAATTCAGCCCGGGCTGAAAACTCTCCATGTAATCGGCCCCTATGATGGCCTTAATGCATGATATGAATTCCTTTTTCTATTTATTTGATCCTTATGCCAGAAATTCTTTTGGTATGTCTAACCCTAATGGTACTGCTGTTGTTTTGAATTTGGAAAATCGCAATTTATTCCCAAATATTTAAAGATGCGGTACAGTCCGATCTGCGCATGTGCACAAAAGAGCCCTCTTTTTATTATACAAACAGTTTATTTAGGTTTTTATTTAATTTTATGGTCTTGCAAAGCTTAATTGTTGTGTCTTGATAATTTAAACTCTAGAATCATGAAAATATAAATATTTTGGATACTGACATGTAAACAAAGCCTTAATTTGTTTACATACGGACTGTACCGCATCTTTAAACGTTTATTTCCAGCTTTAAGGCAGCACTTCACTTGTGGTAGTAATGACTAGTATACCGGTATTACTGTTCGTTCTTCCTGTCTGTTCTCTCTCTGACGGGTTCTTGGCAAGTTGAAAACTATAAAACGAGTTTACATAATATTCTAGTCCTAGATCTTGTCGTTGCCGAGTAAGTCGGTTAGAAAGGTAATGCCCACGATTTGCGTTCTGTGCAAGTGCCGCTATATACTATATATTTTTTAAACGGTTGTAATTGTGCCCCTCCCCCTGAATGAGGTGTCGTTTACAAATCATTATTGAGTTCTCTCATTTCACGATGCCACTGTCTCGGTATGCAAAGCAACAGATGTCTTAGTAAAATATATTTCTTAAAATTGTTGAAATTTTACATTCTCCCTCCTTATTTGACAGTTTATTTGACGCGTCACTTGTTTATATCCACCAAATGTCGAGGCTTCACTCGAATGCTTAAGGTGGTCTGGGACAATATTTTTGTGAAAAAGTCAAATTTTTGAAACAACCATAGTATACATCATTGCTTTTTCATTTCCCCGGTGTTTTTTTTTTATTTGCGCGAAGAAGAAAATTGTATACGCAGGCTGTAAACCTGATCCTTTGATGTATGCTGTCCTTGAACAAAACTCTTCTTGTGTTAAGTGTTCTTCGTACTGTCTGTATTTCGTCATGTGAAGTATTTTCTTTCGTATGCATTGTACAGTTCAGTATGCAAATTATTTTTGACACATTAAAATACGATCTGTTTATGCTTATTGAAAAATGCACGTAACAGTCGTTTACGTATTTTTGTCACATCTGGTGTTTTGCACGTGATTAAATGTGTGTATAAATATTTCAACTGTGTCCAATTTACTTAATACTTTCTTTCAGTAAATTCAGAATTTGACAATAGCGATTAGCAAACAATGCAGGCTACCCATGCACATGACATGTACGCAGCGCGTACCTTTTAAATCTTTGCGTCCTTCACTTCTGGCAAAGAGCCATATTTTTGAGATCAGTGACAGTGGATAACCACCCATGCATAGCCATATGTAGCCGCGATTATTGATAGCTAATCGTCAATCAATATATGTTATTGTTGGGTACGGTTTTCGTTGCATGCCATATATACATACATACATACAAAACTTTATTTAAACCACGCTAGCCTCAACAGCCGTTGGAAGGCTGGTTTCCATGAGGGGCGTGAAATTACCTATTTACAAGAAGTTAACTATATACAGGAAATACAAAATATAACAAAATAAAAAAAATACAAGTGATTTTAGCTGCACGATTACACACAAGCAAATTTCAACTCATTCTTTGTTTCAATATCGACTTGAAAGAGCTTAGGGATTCAGCAATTTTTGCCTCATGGGGAAGATTATTCCAATGCAAGGCACCATTATAACTGAAGCACCTCTTGCCGAATTCTTTTTTCGGCATAGGTGGTGCTAAATCAGTATCCCTATTTCTAAGATTGTAAGTATTATGTCTTTCATTATTAAAATGAAATGCTTCTTTAAGATTGGGTGCGGTGTGGCCATTCAGAATTTTATAGACGAAAATAGATTTAAGATAATTTCGTCTTTCTTCTAGAGGTTTCCAATTTAGATTATTGAGTAACTCAGATGACCGAATATCGTAAGTTGCCCCAGTAATTACTCTTGCAGCACGATTTTGGTATTTTTGCAACTTATCTTTGAGCCCAATTCCACAATTATCCCACAACGAGCTGCAATAATCGAAATAAGGCTGTATAATAGCATTATATAGCATTTTGGTTGTCGACAGTGGTACAAAAGGTTTAACACGTCTCATTGCACCAATACCGGCACCAACTTTAGAACAGATTGAATCAATATGTTTATCCCAAGACAACCTTTCGTCCATAGTCACGCCAAGGCATGAATATTTATTAATCCTGGGTACTAGCTTATTATTAATTAAAATAGGATTACCAGATACTTTATTCTTAAGGTTATAGGGAGATCCAATGAACATATGTTTCGATTTACTGGGGTGGATTTGAAGTTTATTGTGTATCATCCATTTGCGTATGTTTTCGAGATCAATATTTACCTTGTCGACAAGGTCGGCGCAGTCATTAGAAGATGCATAAATTTCCGTGTCATCAGCATAGAGTGAAGGAGTTAAGTGACTTAACGAGTCAGGCATATCATTTATGTATAATAAAAATAATAGAGGACCAAGGATGGACCCCTGTGGAACTCCGCATATTATCTTTTTTGGGCTCGATAGTTGTCCGTTTATAAGACATTGTTGAACCCTGTTATTCAGGTATGATTCGAACCATCTTAGTTGGTTTCCTGTTACTCCGAAAAAATTACGCATTTTATCAATCAGAATTTCATGATTTATGGAGTCGAAGGCTTTTCTAACATCAAGAAAGACTACACAATTTATTTGACCACTATCCATGTTTTTAAGTAAATTATCACACATTTGTATCAACGCAGACAGGGTTGAGTGTTTAGGTCTAAACCCTGATTGGAATTTAGAAAGTAATGAGTTATTGGAAAGATAGCCATAAAGCTGTCGAAAAACCTCTCTCTCAAAAACTTTACTTACAATGGGGAGTATGGAAATTGGCCTATAATTTTCACATTTCCGTCGATCTTCAGATTTGTAAATTGGAATTACTCGCGCTCGTTTCCAGTCATTCACATAAATACCAGTATCAAGTGATAAATTAAATATATATGTTAATGACGGGGCAATAATATCTGCAGAGAGTCTGAGAACATTGGCTGGAATTTTATCAAGGCCAGTAGATTTGTTTATCTTAAGGTTCATTAATGCCAGAAAAACGTTTTCTACATTAATACGATGGAAATGGAATATCGTATCTGTTGTGGGATTGGAATTATTGTAGCTATTCGTAGTGTGTTGAGTAAGAGGCTCTTCGCCAGCTTCAGGCTCTTCACTAGTTTCAGAAGCTAGGCTAGGGCCAATGTTAACAAAATATTCATTAAACTTTTCAGCGATTAATATAGAATCGGTAATGCTGTTGTCATTCACAGATATTTCTGTAATACTGGAAAGATTTGTTATTCCTTCCAGTAAGGGAATTTATAAGGGACCAAATTTTTTTGAAATCATTTGAATAT